TTATCAGCAGATGACACCAACCCCAGCAGCAGAACTGGAACATGTGCAGCTTTCGCTACTGAGCAGGAATCAACACGGAGAGGCCACCAAAGAGAAGCTCTGGGCACTGTCGGGGCTATGTCGAGAGCAGCCTCACTAAAGGATGATGTGATTTGGGCCCAGTGAGCTACCATGGAAACATGGTGGGGTTGGGTTGGGTTGGGTTGGGTTGGGCTGGGTTGGGTTGGGTTGGGAGGGATCTTAAAGATGATGCTGTTCCAGCCCCTGCCATGGGCCGGGACACCTTCCACCACAGCCCCATCCAGCCTGGCCTTGAGCAGCTCCAGGGGTATCTTGCAGGCAAACCTGCCATTCCATGGACAGGTGGCTTCACATGAAAACAAGGAGCAGTTTTTCCCCTCAGCATCAGCATGACAACTATCAAGTCCAGACATCTTTGGGAAAGAATTACATTTCTTTACAGCACAGCAAAATCTGGAAGATTCCCCGAAAGATTTTCACGCTCTGAGACCAAAGGAATGGCCTGGGAGTTTCACCTCATGTCTCTGAATAAGAGGCTGATCCCTTGAATGTGTTACTATCCCTCACTCAATGTAGGAATCCATTCTGTCAGGGGAAAGAACAATTTCATGATCACTGCACAGCAAACATCCTCACAAAGCTCCTTTCCCTGCTGCTGCTGCTTCTCTGCCCATCCTGTCTATTCTGGACACGCAGCCCAGCACTCCCTGTGCTATGGACGCACACAGTCCTTTTTCAGATGGTGGGAAAACTGGGAATGGGAATTGCAAACCTGCAGGTGAAGATTTCAGGCCCATGAGGAGCTGGGGAGGCTCAGCTGCTTCCTTGTGCTGTTACCCTGCCACTGACATGCGTCAGCATCCCCAAGAAGTTTCCAGCTGTGGCTATAAAACAGCCGGAGCTGGGAAGAGCCCTTCTCTGAGCTCGGACAGAGGAGATGAACCGCATTCCCCACAACGTCCTTCCCTCCCTGCTGAGCTCAGAGCGCCCGAGGTGCCTCTGGCCCTGCCGAAGCGCCCATCCTGCCCCTCTTCCATCCAGCCCTTGACCAGAAGGGCAAACGGAAAAGCTTTTGGTAACTTCCAGCTGATCTTGGCTGGGAATGAGTGACTCACAAAGGAAAAAATTCCCTGCCGGTTCCTTCACAACCAAAGGTCAGGCAAAGCTCACAGCGGGACCTGCAGAAAGGCTTTCCACCATCTCACCCGAGAACCAGGCCCCTTATTCCATTCTTGGTTTTGTTCAGGAAGGCAGATTTGAAGGCCATAAATATTGTCCCACATCTGGCGATGCACAGAAGAAAATCCGCCTGGCTGAAGGCAAGTGGCTACAGGAGAGAGGAGCAGCCGCCGGTGCCTCCAGACTCCTTTCCGGAGTGAGGCCTGGGCAATCTGCAGGGCTGCTCTGGAGCTGTGAAAGAAACAGCCTGCCCTGCTCCATATGGTGTGAAGCCTTCAAAAGGCACGGCTTATTTTCCCCAAATGTATCAGGGCTCTCCCAAAATGGCCACGGCATGCTTTGGGTTGGGAGGGACCTTAAAGCTCATCCCATTCCAAGCCCCTCCTGTGGGCAGGGACATCTCCCACTAGAGCAGTTCACTCCAAGCCCTGTACCTCATCACTAATTTCTTCCTAATATCCAGTCTAAACTTATTCTCAGTCAGTTCAAAGCCATCCCCTCTTCTCCTATCTCTCTCTCCATGCCTGTGTTTTCTCCTTACCCTCCCACCCCTCCCCTGTGCCGAGCTCTGTGTCCATTATAGAGCCCTTCCACAAAATATCACTTCACTCATTTCCTGGCTCTCTCCAAATTGCACCATCTTGGGGAATCTGGCACTTCTATGTGAAGGCCAAAACACAATGTCTATAAAAGCAAGGACTGGGACACACCAGGGAAAGGATCACATGTTCAGGCAGTCATTGCCTTCTCCTCCTGCACTAGGTCAGATGATTAAAACTGAGCTGATGGAAGTGATTCCAAGCTCTGGAAAAAGCCAGAACTTCAGCTCTCAATAGGAAAAAGTTATCTACTGGGACAGAAAAACAGACAATCATGCCAGCATTTTCCAGGCCAAATTTCACTCACTTAAATGTTCCTCACACTCCTGCTTTGTTTGGGGGCTGGGATGGAGGGGTGTTCACCCTTAGTTCCTGTCCAGTCAGACCAGCTCCTCTGTTCCCACCAATACCATGGCAATAAAAGAAATAAAACAACCCCAAACCATGACTTCTCCTGTACCAGCAAAGGAGTCAGCACTGGAAACAAATGAGATGACTGAAAGCTTCACCAGCTGGGAGAGCTGGGGGTGCTCACCTGGAGAAGAGAAGGCTCCAGGGAGAGCTCAGAGCCCCCCTTCCAGGGCCTGAAGGGGCTCCAGGAGAGCTGGAGAGGGACTGGGGACAAAGGATGGAGGAACAGGACACAGGGAATGGCTCCCAGTGCCAGAGGGCAGGGCTGGATGGGAGATTGGGAAGGAATTGTTCCCTGTGAGGGTGGGGAGGCCCTGGCACAGGGTGCCCAGAGCAGCTGTGGCTGCCCCTGGATCCCTGGAATTGCCCAAGGCCAGGCTGGACAGGGCTGGGAGCAGCCTAGGACAGGGCAAGGTGTCCCTGCCCATGGCAGGGGGTGGAATTAGATGAGCCTTAGGGTCCCTCCCAACCCAAACCATTTTGGGATTCTATGAAATAAATTCTTTGCAGTTGATTAAAATGGTGTGAGCCAGGCTGTAGAGGAAAAAGCCAAAGTAATCAATTCTAGACAGTAGCACACACACAGAACAGAGTAAAATGCAGAAATTCTTCCCCCTTCACAGAAACAGTTTCCAAAGCAATCACGGGTTTAACATTATCACAGACTCACAGAATGGTCTGGGTTGGGAGGGATGTTAAAGCTCATCCCATTCCCCACCCCTGCCATGGGCTGCTCATGCCTGTGTGCACATGGGATTAAAAAACAAAAATAAAAACTCAGTTTCTCCAAAAAGAGCTCTGTGTCTTCACTCAGGACTGTTTCTATACCAAACTGCATACCCTCAGTGCTTTACTTGCAGAAGATAAATGGGTTTTATTTGCTTTTAACATCCCCACCCTGCTTTCTTCATGAGCTGGGCAGCTCCAAGTCCAAATTTAAAGTTATGTATTTTAATTCTCAGGGCAAAATAATCACTTGCCTGCACTCAGAGCCACTGAACTTAACACACTTGCCAGTTCTAAGAGTCGCTTAAATGTGGGCTGACTCCTGCACACAGAGACAAGCAGGATGTTTTCCCAGAGAAAATGCATCACAGTCACACACTGGGGTAGGCTTTGGGGGTTATTTTCTTTGTGAGGCATCACAGGGCTTATTTCAATAAGGTGCTGTTTGATTTTTAATGCACTTCTGGTCCTACTGACACACTACCCAGAGATCACCTTGCAGGCCACCCTTAGGTACAGGATTATATCATCCCTATTTTAAGGCTCTCATTTAGCCAAGCTTACACGCCAGATGAAGAACTTCACTACCTAATGGGCTTGATGCACTGTGTGTCCCAAAATTAGAGCTCAGCTTCTTCCTTACAGAGATTTTGAGCAGAGTCAGTCAGAGCTTTGACATAAATGGGAGCAAATATGTTCCTTCTCCAGTGCTTCGAGCTTGGCCATTAAATGGGATCTGACTGCCTGATTTTTCATAGACAAATAAGCACGGGCAATTACAAGGGAATAATGGAAATATTTGTCACAGGAGTTCCTGATCCTTTCTTCCCCCTCCCCCACCCTGAGTGCTTGTGCCAGCCAGCGTGCAAATGTGCAACCACAGAAACGTGGGGATACGTAAACATTCCATACACACACCCAGAGATGCATACACTGTGCATCCATGGATAAATATATTCACACCCAGGCACCTCCTCACCTCTGCCCTGGAGACAGCACACAGGACTCACCAAGGCACAGGGGTGTTTGCTGTTAATCCAGCCTCAAACAGGGACACTTCTCACAAAGCCCAGCTCCTCTCTGTACTAAGAAGTCTGTAAATAACACCCCATTAACTTTTAATCCCATCTTGCCCACTCTGACATGCATTTTGTATTGAAATGAAAGTTATATAAGGTTGAATCGAGGCTGCTTTTTAATATTACATTAAGGCTATTTACCATGTGCAGCACTAATCCCCCTTTGAAAAAAGGAGCCCATTAGCAATTCGGAAAGCTTACGTTGCCATAGCAATAGTCCAGCACTGGGAAATATTTATATAATGTCTCATGTTTTCACTCTGCAACAGCCATCCTCCAGACTGGACTGCCCACTGACCCTGCCTGGTGTTTCCTCCCTGTCCCACACAGGGCACAGCACCCGAGTGGTGCCTAACTCTGCAAAATCTGAACGTGTCCAGAACCACCTGCAGGCACTGCATTCCCTATTCCCACAGTCCCACCATGGTCCACATGCTCGGTCTGCAGCTCGTGCTGATGGCCAATGTCCAATGAGAAGTTCCCATGCCCCTACTCCCAAAATGTGTGACCACAGTAACAGGTAACCTCCCGCTGGGGTCAATTCCACTGAGGCATTTTTTATGTCCAGGGAGGGGAACAGAGCTGGGGAAGGGATTGGAGCATCAGGAGCAGCTGAGGGAGCTGGGAAAGGGGCTCAGCCTGGAGAAAAGAAGGCTCAGAGGGGCCCTTCTGGCTCTGCACAAGTCCCTGACAGGAGAGTGGACAACAAGGGATAGGACAAGAGAAAACAGCTTTGGGCCATGCCAGGGAAGGTTTAGATTCGAGAAGAGGGAAAATATCTTTCCTGGAAAGGTGGCCAGGCATTGGAACAGGTTCCCCTGGGCAGCGGTGGAGCCACCACCCCTGGAACCGTTTGGAGGGTGTGTGGGATGCAGTGCTCGGAGACCGTGGTGGTGCTGCCGGGTTGATGGCTGGAATGGATGATCCTGGGAGGCTTTTCCAACCTCAACAATTCCACAACCCCCTCTTTCCCGGCCGCCCTTACCTTGATGTGTTCGTGCAGCTGCGCCTCGTGCTGCCGGGAAAGCTGCTCATGCTGCCGCTGGAACTCTGCAATCAGGATCTGCCTCTGGATCTGCTGCTTCTGCTTGAGGGCCAGCAGCTCCTGCTGCAGCTGCTGCTCCCGCAGCGTGGGCTCTGTCACCGGCATGGAGAACTGGTGGTCCAGCCGCAGGTCCATGGGCACCGAGCTCGGCGCCACTTGCAAGGGCAGGGCTGTGCTCACGTCAACTGCGGGGGAGAAGACAAGAGCGGGACTGAGCGGGGTCCTCATCCAGCAAAGGATGGGGGAAACACAGTCTGAATCAAGGGCAGCACCATGAAACTCACAGCATTCCTTCAGGGGTAACCAAGGACTACAGGAATTCGGGGATCAGCAAGTTTTCCACCAAACACCACCTCCTATAAACCCGTGTGTTTACCACAAGCAAAGAGCGTCACGTGTGTCCCATCTGTGCCTTCCAAACACACACACACACACACACACCTCCGTTTGTTCCACTCATCCAGCACCACCAAACACACACACACCTCCGTTCCACTCATCCAGCACCACCAAACACACACACACCTCCGTTTGTTCCACTCATCCAGCACCACCAAACACACACACACCTCCATTCCACTCATCCAGCACCACCAAACACACACACACACACCTCCGTTCCACTCATCCAGCACCACTGGAAATAGGGAGGATAAAGAGTAATCCAAGACTTCACAGAAAGGATTAAACTTGAGTTGTTAATTAATCTTGATGAACTGATGGACTGCCGTGGTCAGGAACATGAGGCTCTCCCTATAAGAAACTCAAGCAGAAAACCATGATGTGTTGGATAGTAAATCCCAAACTGGTTTGGTTGGGACCTCAAAGCCCATCCAGTGCCAGCTCCTGCCATGGGCAGGGACACCTTCCACCGTCCCAGGCTGCTCCAAGCCCCAATGTCCAACCTGGCCTTGGACACTGCCAGGGATCCAGGGGCAGCCCCAGCTGCTCTGGGCACCCTGTGCCAGCACCTCCCCACCATCCAGCCCTGCCCTCTGGCAGTGGCAAGCCACAGCCCTTTTGCAGTAACTGATCTCAGCTTGTTTCTCCTAAAAAAGAAAATTACTGTCACCCCTGAATGACTAAAAATCTTCTAAATTCCTCCTGAGTGACAGTTCTGCCTTTCACAGGTATTCTGTGTATTTGCAACATTTGCTGTCTCTCTCTCTCTCTCTCTCCAGGGCAATCCCTCAATAACTCTGCTGAGAGCTTTGAATGAACATCAGTTACAGGATAACAAAGGCTAATCCCTCAGAAACAATGAGCTTCAGCAAAACTGGGAAAATAAAGGTGGGAATTTTTTCCTCCATATCCTCTGTCAGGATATTAATCTTATCCATCCCATGGAGAGAGTTTTCATAGGGTTTTTCCCAAATACTTTCGTGGAGCAGATGTCCAGAAGCGTGTTCATTCCTCCCTGAACCCAGCTTGGCCATGGAGAAGGAGGAGGAGGAGGATGAGGAGGAGGAGGAAGAGAAGGAAAAGGAGGAGGAAACTCTTTTTTTGATGGAAACATTTTCAGCAAAAGGTCACATTACTGGAAGTGTTGCTATTTTTCGACCCACAAGCTCTTCCCTCTGCTTCCCTATTGTTTTCCTTCCCATGGCCTTTTCTCCACTCCCCTCTCTCCCCCGCAGCACCAGAGTGAGGATTCCTTGTCATGGATTGATTTCTGAGCCACAGACAGGGATTTTGGGGAGAGCAGCACACTCTGACCCGCCCTAAAGGCTGTGTTTGAGGTCTCTGGGGAGAGCTCAGAGCCCCTTCCAGTGCCTAAAGGGGCTCCAAGAGAGCTGCAGAGGAACTTGGGACAAGGGATGGAGGGACAGGACAAGGAGGAATGGCTTCCACTGCCAGAGGGAAGGAATGGATGGGATATTCCTGAAGGAATTCCTGGCTGGGAGGGTGGAGAGGCTCTGGCACAGGCTACTCAGAGAAGCTGTGGCTGCCCCTGGATCCCTGGAAGTGCCCAAGGCCAGGTTGAACATTGGGGTTTGGAACAGCCTGGAACAGTGGGAGTTGTCCCTGCCATGGCAGGGGTGGCACTGGATGGGTTTTGAGGTCCCTTCCAACCCAAACCATTCTGTGATTCCATGTGTTCCCCTTATCCTGTCCCTCCATCCCTTGTCCCAAGTCCCTCTCCAGCTCTCCTGGAGCCCCTTTAGGCCCTGGAAGGGGCTCTGAACTCTCCTTGGATCCCTCTATTCTCCAGGCTGAACACCCCCAACCCTCCCAAGCATGCAAAACTCAACCCAGTTTCAGGCAGAAAGAACACCCTGCCACTTGTGATTGTGCCTCGAGATCCATTCCTCCTGTTTGACTCCCTAAAAAGAGCCTTAAGTTGCCATTCTCTGCTGGAAAACAGCCCTAAGAAAACTCAACAAATCCCCCATTTTCCACCCAAAGGGACTCTCCCCCCCCACAGCTGCAGGGATGAGGACCACAATTCCTATTCAGGGCTCTGCGTCATCCCTGACTCTCAACTATTTCAGGCTCCAAAAAAGCCCCTCTTTGCCCCGCCGGGAGCTGCTGACCCACAGAGCCCTGTGAGCCCCAGCCAGCCTTCCCTGCTCAATGGACACAGCCCCACAACAAAAACCCTCCTGTGTTCCAGGGAGTCTTTGATGGGACACTCAAAAATTGCTTTTCCAGGTCCTGCCTTGAGAACGCACGAGCACAATCGGAGTTGTGACGCGAGCCGAGGCACAAAGACGACATTCAGGGCTGGCATGAGAAATGCCAAAGCCATGAATGAGGAGACAAGATCCTGATTATAAATAATAAACTATCTCACGGTCTCTCCCTGCTTTTTTTCTTCCCTGTAGGAATAGAAAAACATTAATTTTTTAACTTCCACCACCCCCTGCATATAGGGAATTATTTTTTCCCCATGGTCAAGTTAGCCTGATTTTGAGTCCATGGTCATGTTACGATGAGTTTTATACTAAGCTAGAACCACTCTGCTGGTGTTTCCCTTCCCAAATAAATAAAACATGGCTGTACATCACAGCCTGCTTGCACTCTGCACATTAATTAAGACCTGAAGCACTTCAGTCCCCCTCGGCTGCTGATGGAGGTTGGAAATTTGAAATCTTGCAGCTTGTCTGGAACACACTGAGAGGGATAACCCAAAACACAGGGAAATGAAATGACAATCTCCAACCTGAAGGCAAAGTGCACATCCTACAAAAAGTATTTAATCATGGAATCACAGGATGGATTGGCTTGGAAGGAGCCTTAAAGCTCATCCAGTCCCACCCCTGCCATGGGCACCTTCCGCTGTCCCAGGCTGCTCCAAGCCCCAGTGTCCATCCTGGCCTTGGGCACTGCCAGAGGTCCAGGGACAGCCACAGCTTCTCTGGGAATTCTATCCAAACTCTTCCTCACCCTGTGCCAGGGAACAATTCCTTCCCAATATCCCATCCATCCCTGCTCTCTGGCACTGGGAGCCATTCCCTGGGTCCTGTCCCTCCATCCCTTGTCCCCAGTCCCTCTCCAGCTCTCCTGGAGCCCCTTTAGGCCCTGGAAGGGGTTCTGAGCTCTCCCTGGAGCCTTCTCCTCTCCAGGTGAACACCCCCAGCTCTGCCAGCCTGGCTCTGTTGGAAAACTAAAAACATTTCACATAAAGGCTGTAGATAAGGCATTGTCAGGGAGTTTGTATTCTCCCACACTCCAAAAAGGAAAGTAACTTCTCCGTAAGTCCCGGGTGTTTTGGAAAGGATTAGGGGAAGGTGACACTAAAGCTGTGAATATACTTTTCAATAAAACTAACAGTAACAATTGAATTTTCTTCCCTTTCTCTGATACAGCATTTTCATGTTGGCCTTTAAAGGATGGAAATACAGGTTTGAGTCCTGTAAATACACTAAAATGTTAAACCAAAAATTTGGTATGAGAGGCACACCAAACAAATATTTAAATTCAAACCTTGTTTCAGAATAAGTTTTACTTAAGGCTAATTTAAAAAACATTCACAGAATCCCAGAACCACAGAGGGGTTTTGTTGGAAGGGACCTTAAAGACCACCACATCCCAGCCCCTTGCCATGGGCAGGGACACTTTCCACTAGACATCAAATTGGAGGTTTTTTTGTATCAAATGCTGCTGCCAAAAATTACTCTTTCCTTTTTTCTTTTTTCCTTGATCTTCTATTTTTTTTTTTAATTTAAATTTAAGCAGCACAGAAAACTGCCTCTCAGATTTGAAATCCAACATCACCTTCAAAGAGAAAGTGCAGGAAATGCTTTCCCTGAGCTCTGTCTTCCTCTGGCATAGAGAAAGTCCCAATCAGCTCCTTCCCAGCTCCTCTTTCTTCAACAATTCCCTTTGGAGAAGGGAAAAAAATCCCATCAACCTCCCGAAATCTGCTGCAAAACCCTGGGGATGAGAGTCTGGTTAAGGCTGGGGGAAGAAAGCAGCTCCCACTGCAGGACATACCCCACCTGCCCATGACAGAGCAAGCCTGGGAGATTCCCAAAATCCCAAGAAAAGAGCATTCCAGCCTCTTCCATTGACTCTCCAGTGCCTGGTGCCCTCCCCAGACACTGCCCACCAGGAATGAGATGTTCTTGCTCTGGTTGACCCTCTCCAGCCAGGGCTTTCCAGAGCCCATGGACTCAGCTTCTCCCCCTCTCCCATCCTTTCCGGGCCGGGCTTTATTCCCAGCTAATGAGTTTGCTTTTTAATTACTGCTGTGCCAGCCATGCCCCCGGGCCAGGCTCTGCCAAGGGCAGCACGTCAGCCTTTGGGTACCCTCAAAAAGCAAACACAAAGCCAGAGGATGTGCTCAGTGTCCCAAACTCCTGGCTGCTGCCGTCGGATCATCCCCATCCCGCTGAACCACCCGGTGGGATGCTGAAGGAGTGTGTGCATGGATCTCTCCCTCTCAGCATCATTTCCAGCTCTTTCATCTCCAAGGAAAAGCAAAAAAATCATCTGTTTATTCCCTGACTTCATTCTTCAGGGCTGTCCTCAGTGTTCACCAACAGTTTTGGATTTTTAAATAATTCCCTGTGCTTTGAAAGCCATTTGAGCACCAAGTTGCTGCCAGCAGGAATGCCTTGGGCATGTGGGGAGCATGACGCTGGCTCTGAATCCTCGGAACACCGTTCCTGTAACCCATCACCCCAGTCTGCCTTCAGAATCAGCCTGGAAAGGGAGGCAAGCAGCTACTGCTGACTCTGAG